AGGCTCAGTTTCCTTAACTTTTCTTAATGTTGTTCTAAGACTTGCCTCGTTCCAAACACCAGATATTTTCAAGATTTCTTTAGAGTTGGGTTACTTCACCAGGGTTGTGTACGCAGCCCGTTTTCTTCACTGGCCACAACGTATAAAATACTAAATGTTAACCTAACCAGAAACGCCCGAGCAACCCACCAACCCTTGCATAGAGAACGTGGATATTTGTGAGTCGCTACTTTTACATAGTAGACCAGACTTCATAGTAGACTAAACTTCACTTCACTTCGTCTTCCCTTCACTAGAAGGTGAAGGGACGACGACGTTTCGGTCCGTCCTGGACCATTCTCAAGTCGATTGTCTGCCTTCTAGTGTGTGGTCTGGTCAACTTACTTTAGCCACGTTATTGTGACTCATCGCCTGCATTTTACATAGTAGTTTGTAATTTGTATTCTGGGAACCACAACGTACAAAATGAGATGTATTATTTGAGAGGACGGGTTGGTGTACCGTGTTGGGTGGCAGAGCCTTGATATTTCTCGCCATTCGTCTTCACATTTCCTTGATCAAAACCGTCCCTGGTATATAGGTTTGTGGCTCCTTTCACACTGGTTTTGCTAGCTTTCATATATTTCTATATATATATTTTTCATATATTTTGTTCGCTTGTTCACTGGATATAAAGCGATGGATTTTCCGTTTTCTATTAAGAGCCTCAGCTACTGTGTATTACTGAGAGAGGTTTATCATAAGCGAGGGACTCTGTATGGGGCGGTGTTTTGTATAGGGTTAAGGGGTCGTTTGGTTAGCTGAGGGGCGGGTGGAGGGGCTCGGGCGTCCGAAGGGGAGGGGGGGGAAATAATTTGTCAAAGTCTTTCTGGATTGGTCTCTTCTATGTGAATGTGGGAGCTTGCGTGTGTGCGTGCGTTCTTGTCAGTACCACAATAGGCAAGTATAGCAATTTGATAACGGCATCTTAACATATCTTATCATACCCTAACCTAACCTACCATACCTCACTCGGCCTTACCGTACTCGACCGTAGCATTCTTAAGTTTTCTCTCTCTCTCTCTCTCTCTCTCTCTCTCTCTCTCTCTCTCTCTCTCTCTCTCTCTCTCTCTCTCTCTCTCTCTCTCTCTCTCTCTCTCTCTCTCTCTCTGCACTGGTCCCCGTACACCATGAATCTACTATAAATAATAATAGCAAAAGTAAATATATTACAAATATTAATATAATGAATATAACAACAATAATAAAAATAATGAGCGTGAAGGAAATTTCCAATACATGTTAAGTGTACAATTTAAACCAAATCTCTCTCTCTCTCTCCCTCTCCTCCCCCTCTCCCTCCCCCTCTCCCAAAACTCAACCTATTATCATCTTCCATAAAGGCAAACGTACAATTTTGTTTCATTACAACTCAATAATATTACCAAACTTTAACTTGGCAGCTGATTCAGTACCTACAAGTTCAGCCACACACGCTGCATCGCTCCCCCAGGATCACTCTGTAATATATAAATGGTAAAGGAATGTTGCTAAAACCTTGACAGCTATGTAGGGGTGATGGTCATGTGAAATATTGTACTAAATTCAATTGATCAATGAATACTCGCTCTAATAGTATCATAGTCTCTCTCTTGACTATGAAACAGGGTAAGACCCCCATGCTCTTCACTCGTGTCTAAAACGACAGCTTCACTCGTGTCTAAAACGACAGCTTCACTCGTGTCTAAAACGACAGCTTCACTCGTGTCTAACACGACAGCTTCACTCGTGTCTAAAACGACAGCTTCACTCGTGTCTAAAACGACAGCTTCACTCGTGTCTAAAACGACAGCTTCACTCGTGTCTAAAACGACAGCTTCACTCGTGTCTAAAACGACAGCTTCACTCGTGTCTAAAACGACAGCTTCACTCGCGTCTAAAACGACAGCTTCACTCGTGTCTAAAACGACAGCTTCACTCGTGTCTAAAACGACAGCTTCACTCGTGTCTAAAACGACAGCTTCACTCGTGTCTAAAACGACAACTTCACTCGTGTCTAAAACGACAGCTTCACTCGTGTCTAAAACGACAGCTTCACTCGTGTCTAAAACGACAGCTTCACTCGTGTCTAACACGACAGCTTCACTCGTGTCTAACACGACAGCTTTAGCGTGTTTGGTCTGGAGTCTACCTTCACACACATGACTCAATAACACCTACAGCTGGCTGGCTGGCTGGCTGATAGGCTGGCTGACTGACAGGCTGACTGGCTGGCTGGCTGGCTGGCTGGCTGATAGGCTGGCTGACTGACAGGCTGACTGACTGGCTGGTTGGCTGGCTGGCTGGCTGGCTGGCTGGCTGGCTGGCTGACTGGCTGGCTGACTGACTGGCTGACTGGCTGGCTGACTGACTGACTGACTGACTGACTGACTGACTGACTGACTGACTGACTGACTGACTGGCTGACTGACTGACTGACTGACTGGCTGACTGACTGACTGACTGACTGACTGACTGACTGACTGACTGACTGACTGACTGACTGACTGACTGACTGACTGACTGTGCTGTGGGAGTTACCAATACTTCATTTCGAGACTTGTGGAGTATGTTGGCAAGGGCCCCGTCTTGCCTGTGATCTCAGGAGTGGTCTGAGTCTTTACAGCAGGCGACGTAACAGAAGAACTTGAGGTGTTCAGTAACGCAAACTTGATAAAGCTCCAGAACTTCAAGTTAACCCGAACCTCTGAACTAGTTTTTGTTAAACAACAAACAAACGGAAATTAAGTTTCCTCTCACAAGGAGGTAAAGAGATGGTAGCCAAAAGGAAGTTTTTTCTCAAGCACTTCATGGAGTTCCTTGGCGACCCTCTGTAAACATGGTAGCCCCCCCCCCCCCACACACACACGGGGCAGAAGCGATTGGGAAGCGTTGCCTTTCACCTGATGCAGCTGTTCATCTTGCTGTAGATAACTTAGTGGGAGTTGTAGGCAGCATAGTGCGTGTTCTCACCTAGTTGAGCTTACAGGTTTGAACATCTGCTCTTAAGCCTCGCCTTCCGACCACCAGTAGTTCATTGACTTTTTCACTCGGTTTTTCTTAAAATATTTTCCTTTAAAACTGTGTATCGAATTGACTTCGACAACTTTCTCATCTAGCCCGTTCCGACTCTTAGACTGAAAAACTTCTTTCCGACATTGCTGTGTTTCCAGTTTTCAACTATTTCATCTTGCTCGACTGTTCCTTATTTCGAACATTATTTCTATACCTGTTTCTATGCCGTTACTCGCTTGTGCGTTGTTATCGTAATGTGGCCTCTTCCTTCTTTCCTCAGTGTAGTGAGGGCCAGTTCCTTCAGTCTCTCTTCATGTTTCAGGGACGATCCTTCTTGCATACTTTTTCGACCTTTTCTAGTTCTGTTTTGTGTTTCTTTAGGTAGGGGTTCCATGCTGGGACAGCATACTCAATAATGGGACTCACAAAGGATGTGTACACCGATAGGAAGGGACTTCTGTCCAAGTTTCTGAAGGATAACTGGACGTTTACCAGTATGATATATATACAGCCCTCGTTATTCTGCTGATGTGTGCCTCTGGGGTTAGATCTCCAGTTAGTCCACTCCTAAGTCTTTCTCTCTTTCAGTAGTTGGAAGTGGCCTTCCTAAGTGGTTGGGAACCATTCCTCTCCCCCCCGTCCCATCCCAAATCCTTATCCTGACCTCTTCCTAGTGCTATATGGTCGTAATGACTTGGCGCTTCTCCTGATAATTCCTTCCTTCACCCTGTACTGTATTTGAGGTCTTCTTGTTGCAACTCCTATCCCCATAACCTTGCATTTGTTACGGTTAAAGTCTAATAGCCATTTCTCTGACTATCTCTGGAGATTATCTAGGTCATCTTGTTATGTGCTACAGTCCTCCTCCGTTCTGATTCGCCTCATTAGTTTAGCGTGGTCAACAAACATTGACAAGAATGAGCTGACTTCCTCTCTTAGATCGTTTACTTATATTAGAAACAGGATGGTTGTGTGTGTGTGTGTGTGTGTGTGTGTGTGTGTGTGTGTGTGTGTGTGTGTGTGTGTGTGTGCAAGATAAAGTAGATATGATAGAGACAATTTACCGGTAGTCAATACACTATTTACACACACACACACACAGTGACAGAGTGGACACAGACGAAATGTTCACACGGAATAGTAACAGAACGAGGGGACATGGGTGGAAGCTGGAAACTCAGATGAGTCACAGGGATGTTAGGAAGTTTTCTTTTAGCGTGAGAGTAGTGGGAAAATGGAATGCACTTTAGGAACAGGTTATGGAAGCAAATACTATTCATAATTTTAAAACCAGGTATGATAGGGAAATAGGACCGTAGTCATTGCTGTAAACAACCGATGCTCGAAAGGCGGGATCCAAGAGTCAATGCTCGATCCTGCAGACACAACTAGGTGAGTACAACTAGGTGAATACAACTAGGTGAATACACAAACACACACACACACACACACACACACACACACACACACACACACACACACACACACACACACACACACACACACACACACACACATACATACACATACATACACATACACACATACACACACACACACACACACACACACACACACACACACACACACACACACACACACACACACACACACACACACGCACGCACGCGACAGTGATATCCAACACATTGTGGCAGCATAAGCCCACAGCCACCCCCAATGGGACATTTAAGTGAGAAATTACATCACTTTGTAAAGCTGTCCTCTGTGGAATGTCCTGGAGTCGTCTTTATTAAGTTCAGAATCTGTACTAGTGTGTGCTTAGCCGCTTCAACTGGGGTTTGGTGCTGAGGCGCGATGTGTGGGCAAGCTTGTGTATGACGGGTGTAGTGTGGGGTGTGTAGTGTGAGGTGTGTAGCGTAAGGTGTGTGAGGTGTGTAGCGGTAGGTGTGTGAGGTGTGTAGTGAAGCGAGAGATGTAACCAGTGCCACCTTTCTCCCCAACAGACCGCGACTACTGGTACGCCCAGGCCAAGAGCCACCTGGAAGACATCGTAGCGGCGAGGCGCGCCTCTCAAGGCTACGCCAAGAACGTCATCCTCTTCGTGGGTGACGGTATGGGCGTCTCCACCGTCACCGCCGGCCGCATCCTCAAGGGGCAGAGGGAGGGCCAGAGCGGTGAGGAGTACCGCCTCTCCTTCGAGAAGTTCCCTTACGTCGCCCTCGCAAAGGTAAGTCACACCACCAAGCCTTAGCGTCGTCCCACGCTACCTAACCGCCTCCTTGAGGTTACCTTGAGGTGCTTCCGGGGCATAGCGTCCCCGCGGCCCGGTCGTCGACCAGGCCTCCTGGTTGCTGGACTGATCAACCAGGCCTCCATCACATTTGTTACCTAATTTGCAACGTAGTAACGACGTTAAAAAACATTTTGATGTTGCGTATGCTGGAGTTGTGGTCATCCTTGGTGCCGACGCTTGCATGTGGACCACCAGAGAGAGGCATGTTCATGATGGCGGTGTGTTGGGCTGAAGGCCTATCACTCTCTGGGTGATAGATCTATCCTATCACCTGGGCTGAGGTATGCTGTACTCTGTAAATATTGTATGAGTACTGGAACACTTGATGATATATTGGACTTGTACCCAAGATTGATAATGTAATGCATCAGTTATACATTGTATGTGATGTATCTATAACCTGAGCTTGTAAAATTATCTTAATCACCTTCAGTAGTTTAGTGCTTAATAACACACTAGTTTCTAAAGCAACTATCTTACACTGTCAGAGGTCAGAGTAGAAGAGACATAAATGTATGTGTATATATGTGTGCATGACAGTGTCAGACCACGGAGGAAGAATTGAAACAGGAATTTCCTTAAGTACTTTCGTATTTTAATAATTCATCTTCACAAGGAGTGGATGAACATTCCACATTCCACCTCGAACACATTCCTTCTGAAGATGTATTATTAATATACGAAAGTACTTAAGGAAATTCCTGTTTCAATTCTTCCTCCGTGGTCTGACACTGTCACATTTTTCATCACGTGTTAATTTTCGTGATTTACACACAAATGTATGTATGTGTATACAGGGTATGTGGACACTGGTCAGAATTGAATGTAAAAAGACACCTCGAACACTGTTTATGTAAGGCGGACGTAAGTCTGTGTAACTATGTATTTATGTATGTAGGTTAGGTTAGCATTTTAAAATCACAACATTGTTCAATAAATCCCTGAGCTATATGTTTAACAGATCTCTCACCCTGTCCATGGAGGACAGAAGAAATTGTTTATATGCTGGTTAGCATTGTAAATGTGTGGCCACGTCTGTGGTAGAAAATAATAATACAAAAAACTGTGGACTGTTATTGACGGCCGCCAGACAAGGATCACGTGTTGTGGTTTACCACACCTGCGAATAGGGCATCTCGATAAGCCTATTAGGCTTACCGACATCCCACTATGACCGTGCCCAATTACTCACTTTACCCCAGGGTGCCACCCCACAACAGCTGCCTAACTCCCGGGGACCTATTTATCTCCGGTTGAATAGCGGTACCAGATGAAGGGAAACATGCCCAAACGTTTTGGGCATGTTTCCTTTGGCATCTACAAAGCCTTTTTTTTTTTTTAGACCAATATTGGAATCTCCCGAACCGGCCTGGAATCCACATCTTGTGAAGCACAAAACCAAAACTGAAAAGTACAATAGTTTTCAACAAGACTAGTACCAGAACTGAGAGGGCTGAGCTATGAAGATAAGTTAAGGAAAAAAGTCTTTCACAACGCTGGACGAGGGAAGAAACATTAGGGACTTGATCGCATCATTCAAGATACTGAGGAGGAATTGAGAAGGTGGACAAGCACAGCCTCTTTACAGTGAGAGAAAGTAGAACGAGAGGACATCATTTTGAAGCTGGAAACGCAAATAAGCCGAATGAATATAAGGAAGTTCTCGTAGCGCTGACGGCTGGTCTATAAGTGGAACGCACCGCAGGGAGGGGTTATGGAAGCCACCTCCATCTACTACTTAAAGGCCAAATTCGACAAAGAATTATAGCTAAAGAATAATTAATTATAACACAACAGGCACAGCTAGTCTTGTAAGTAGGAAGGGAAGGAAACTATGAGGAGAAAGCCATTTCGACTATATAGCACTTGGAAGGGGTCAGGATAAGGATTTGGGATGGGACGGGGGGAAGAAATGGTGCCCAACCACTTGGACGGTCAGGGGATTGAACGCCAACTTACATGAAGCGTGACCGTCGCTCTACCGTCCAGCCCAAGTGATAGTGCACCGCACCATTGGTAAGTAGGCGTCTCGACCAGACAAACGAAGCAGCACGAATCTCGACCAAGACTACTCTGCAGGAATCCTTATGTCGTAGTCTGAAGAAAATATAAATTAGTCTACACAAAAGAACAGTCAGTGGTTGCTGGGGTGGGTGTTCTCCACCCATCAATAAGAGTTCGATCCCCCTTCACCTGACACCACTACGCCAAACTTGTCCACTCTTTAAACAACTTTTATAGCAAAAGTAGTTGGAACTGAAATTTTTTACAGTGTTTGGAACCATTTTTGTTGAAAATAGGCCGCGCTCTCCGCAAAAATGTTCAGAAGTTTGTGAAATTGGAGCGGGAACTGGTTTAGCGGTAAACCGGTTTGGCTTCTGGCGTGTTGGTTGTGGGGGAGTGATTGTTGTGAGTGACCCCCCTGGTGCATGCTGGTGCCTGGCTACTGGTGAGTGACCCCCTGGTGCATATTGGTGAGTGACCCCCCTGGTGCATGCTGGTGCCTGGCTACTGGTGAGTGACCCCCTGGTGCATGCTGGTGCCTGGCTACTGGTGAGTGACCCCCCTGGTGCATGCTGGTGCCTGGCTACTGGTGAGTGACCCCCCTGGTGCATGCTGGTGCCTGGCTACTGGTGAGTGACCCCCTGGTGCATGCTGGTGCCTGGCTACTGGTGAGTGACCCCCTGGTGCATGCTGGTGAGTGACCACCGGTGAGTGACGCTGCTGGTGACCTCTGTTGTCTCATGTCCGTGACTCGTATTTCTGTGCCTATATCATCCACGTCTGTCCTCACCTACTGTTATCCCTCATTTTCAAAAGGCTGTTCCTGTTTGTGTGTTTCTCTTAGTATTTTGTATATTGTTGCTATGTCTTCATTGATCGTTCTCTCCTCTAGAGTTAAGATGGTCTGACTTCTTAGCTTAATTTCGTATTTCAAAGACCAGCTTCTTATATATAACTTAAATTGGTCTTCTCACGCTTCTCGAGAACCAGGATGGTGCTGCGTATTCTCAAACTGGTCTGACGTAGGTTATGTATACCGTCTTGAAAAATATTATGCTTTTGATTTTCAAAGCTGTTTGTTTGTTTGACATGTTTGCGTTTGTTGGGGACGTAAAGTTAAACAGATTTTGAAAATGTGCGGACAATTGGCGGATGCGGGACAGGTTAACATCACTTGTATGTTAAATGAACAGCTGCTGACAGTCAGATTAACACCCGCTGTAAGTCAAGCTAACATCCTCTGTAAGTACATTAATAAGTACCTGTATGTTATCTTAACAGCCCCTGCACGGCAAGTTAGCCACACTGTGTGTGAGTGCTGCACTGTGGGTGCCACACTGTGAGTGACACACTGTGTAGTGAAGAAGAGGTGATATATATCTTGTTTGTTTACATGTGGCAGCGCCTGTATCACTTGTTTACATGTGTCAGCACCTGTATCACCTGTTTACATGTGGCAGCACCTGTATAACCTGTTTACATGTGGCAGCACCTGTATCACCTGTTTACATGTGTCAGCACCTGTATCACCTGTTTACATGTGGCAGCACCTGTATCACCTGTTTACATGTGGTAGATATTTACACTTTGGTTAGATTCAGTAGTCTTATGTAAATCTTTCCGAACTCTTCATCTCCTAGGTAGACCTGCCTGGTCTACCCTGGGGATTACCTACCTAGTCTCTTCCTGGGACCACCATTCTAGTCTTCGTGGCTCTACCTACTTACTGCCGGTATCAGCATATATGGCTGAAGAATGATATATATATATATATATATATATATATATATATATATATATATATATATATATATATATATATATATATATATATATATATATATATATAGTAAATATATTCATGGAACCTCAAGCCCAAAATGCCAGAGGAAGAAACCTCGTCGAGGTCTCCGGGATGTTGAAAGAATGTTTGCTAAGTGAATCCCAACATTGGATGTTTTTGGAAGTTGATCATGGAAGGGAAGGGAAGGGAAGGGGGGAGGGGAAGGGAAGGGGGGAGGGGAAGGGAAGGGGGGAGGGGAAGGGATGGGAAGGGAAGGGAAGGGGGGGGACTATGTGCTTGCTTTTACCTGAATGTACTTGCGGGGTCGAGAGCTAGCTCTTGGGTCGTGTGTTGTCAGCTGTGGAGTGTCTAGGGCCGTTGTTGTCGTCTCTCCTGTTTCTGAGAGAGTTTGGAAAATGTTAATTGGTTTGTCTGCTATTCATTCAGAGTTATTTTATTTGTTCACTATTATGTTAAGAAGTTCTTCTTAGCATCATTTTGATTCTTGTGTAGCTTATGTTTTCATCCTCCGTGTTCTAGCATTACTCTCTCTGAGCATTTCTCTGTCCATTTTGTATTTTATTCAGAGTATCTTGTATGTTGTGCTCATGTTGCTCACATTACGTCTCTCCTCGAGTATGGCACTGAATACCTCCTTCAGTGATTCCTCATAGGTTAGTCTCCTCAGTTCCATAACCAGCCTCCGTCCCTTCCAAGTGCTATATAGTCATAAAGGCTTGGCGCTTCCCCCTGATAATTTCCTCCATAACCAGCCTCATTCCGTATGTTTTAACTTATTCCAATTCAGATTAGTTCTCTTCAGTAGGCGTAGGCTGTAAGCCAGGCCTACATAGTAGTGTGTCGTATACCTCCTGCTCGCAGATGATGGGAAATGGTAAACAGAGTATATTAAGTACAACTGAAAGCTGCAAGAGGACGTGAATAAGCTCCTGAACTGGTTTGAAAAATAGATATTAAAGTTAAAAACAATTGAAAGGTAATGCAAATTAGAAGAGGTTAAAGAAGACAGATCGAAGAAAATGAAATAAAGGGCTCCGACTCGTTAAACAATTAAAATACCCAGCTAGTTGTGTTAGCTTTTCAAATTCCCTTTTTGTGTCGATTATTATCTGCAAAATCAAGGGGC